GAACATACAGAAAGGTTTACCTATACAAAATTAATAAAATATATGTTACAGAACAAAACTTATTAAAAAACTGTGAGGGTTGGGTACAAAGCAATAATTTTAAATGTCATCTATTAAAGGAACATTGTTAATCTACAAAACCTAAAGCAAATAAACAAAAGCTGCAAATATAAAAATAGATATCAATACAGGAATAGCATGCAAGGAAAAGAAATTCTGTACCAATCAGCACACTTTAATTGCTGATGCATAAAAATCTCAAAAGTTGTCCAAAAGAAAGATATGATCGCCTCAAAATCTGAAACATTGAAATTTGTTGCCTGCTTTTGCTCACTGGGACAGTTCAGTTTCAAGTTTAAGGTTTCCAGTGATTGGTAAATTCAGATTAACAGAGTGCACTTAATGTAAACTTCCTCTTCCTCAGCTAAGCAAGCTAAATCTTGTTGGAATCTTGCTTTCTTTTTTTGGTGGATAACATTTATCTTATAAAAGCAATTTGAGAATTTATAGATCATGTAGGGAGCCCTAGTGGCCTCATAATAAGAAGCTAGACTGCAGTCCTAAAAGCCCATGGTTTGAATTCAGGATGGGCATTCTCTTGCTATGTGATTTACTACCTCTGAAAACCCACTGGAGGATTAGCTATGGGTCGATTCAAACTCAGCAGTACACAACAACATCATCATATTGGCTTTTCGTTCATAGGATTTTTGTGACATTGTCACTGCAATTTTATGGGATCATTTATACACATTTTATTTTGTGAAAAGCTGAAAGCCAGAGCACCTGATCTAACTTGCAGTTGTGTTTTGTTTGGTCTGTACTGTGTTGTGTAAACAGAGTGATTTAGTTGCCAACACATAAAACAGGCAGGCTGTATGTCAGAGTCCAGCTCTTTTGAAAATGATTATTGCTGGCCTCTTGCCGTTTTTGCATGACTGCACTTAGCTTGGTGGCCACAGCTGCCCCTGGACGGGTCACCAAGGCTCCCACCACTTGCCAGTGTCTCAGCGTAGCCAGGCCACTCAGTCACTTGGTAAGCATTTGAGATTTTGACTCTTATACAGGGAACTAATTAATTAGCCTCTGTAACAATTAGATCAGTAACTGACATCAAGGTTTATGAGTGACGTTTGTATCTTTTTTGAGATAGAGAACTCTGTTAAATTCAGCAGGTATGTGATTTTGTGGTTCACATTGTCTGTGAGCTTATCTGCTTACTAAGAGGCTGGAAGCTTGAGTTAACCTAGAGGAACCACAGAGGAAAGTCCTGGTAATCTGCGTTTGAAACCACAACCCCTGAAGACAGCGCGGAGCACAGTTCTCCTGTGAGGTATTCGGGTCACCAGGCCTCATAAATGATTCAGTAACAACTGACGTTTGGTCTGGGGCATTTCCTAATGTCCTCCAAACCAGGAGAGAGGAATTTATTATGCATTGAAAAGCTAGTACCTTAATCTCATGCAAAGCCCACATATGATTTCTTTGCTATTATCTCAACTGCTCTTTACTTTCTCCTTCCTGGATGTAAAGGAGACAGAAAACATACTTTTAGAAATTAAAGTGTGTCCAGTTCCTTTCGAGGCAGAAAGATCTGCTATTTCTGGATAAGTTCAAAAGGCTCAGAACTCCCGAGGTGAGCAGCTAGGAGAAAGCAGCGCTTTGTGTCACTCCTGATGTCCACTCCTCACAGATGGTCTCAGGACAGTGCCTTGGCCTGGCCGCTGTGTGCCCTTGTGTGTCCTTGAGCCCGTCTGACTCCCAGCGCCTCTCTGGGACAGAGCAGAGTTGCTCCCTGGTGATTCCAGCACCCTGAACCTTTGTGGAAGTGGTGTCCTTCATCGCCCTTATCGAAGACATCTCATGGCTTCGAGCCACAACCTTTCTCTTAGCAGCTAAGCGCTTTAATCACTACATCACCAGGCAGAGTGCATCTCAAACCAGCAAGTGGTGTGTGGCACCCTCTCCACAAGATTTGTTAGGCTGGGTGGTTAGTGGCCGGGAGCGAGGGCAGGGCCTGCACCTGGGGTTTGAGGAGCACCCCAGGTCCCCCAAGGCTGTGATGTACCTTCCCCAGGCCACTGCTTCACAGTGCTGCTGCTGGCTCGGCGGCAGGTGCTGGGAGAGCTTCTCTGCAAGGTTTCTCTGGGGTTAGGGCCTCTAATGCCAGTCTGACAAAACCCCACACCCTTGTGCTGTGTCTGCATGGGCTCCCATGAGGTGGTTGGCCTGTGTACAGGGTTTCTGTTGAGACATGGTGACAGAGATGACACCTGGAGGCCTGTGCCTTGCAGAATATAAATACAGCTCAATGTCCTGTTTTCCTTTGCAAAATAATGTCTAATTTCCACCCCACCCTTCGTAATTAAAGGAGCACTTTGGTGGCCCCATGGCAAGAAGCTGCTCTACAATCCCCAGGTTACACAGTTTGAGGCCACTAACTGCTCTCCAGGAGAAGGACGGGCTAGCTCCTTCTCCAGCAGTTAACTGCCTCTGGAAATCTGGTACATTGAGCTGCTGGTCTGACAGCTGTATCTCTCTCTGGATTTGAATTCAACAATGGTTTCATGGTAAAAAGGTGGTCAGGCTCCTCCGGTGCCATTTACAGCCTCTTAAAAGCTGCTGGAGGGTCGGCTATGAATCGGTTCTGACTCAACAAAAATGAGTTGTTTTTGAATGTGGTAAAATACAAATATGAAACATACACCATCTCCTCATTTCTGCACGTATGTATTATTGACACTGACACTGACCATATGCCACCTCTGTCCTTGTCCTTTGCCCAGTTATCCTCCTACCATTCATTCACTTAGACTTTCTGTCTCTTCCCTTTCCACCTGTGGTGACCGCTAGGGTATTTGCTTGTTTCATGTAAGTGAGATCCCTATTGCCCTGATTTTTGGCTGAAAAAAAATTAATGAAAAATAATAGTGCTAACAAAGAAGTTGATCAAGTCTTATCAAATTCACCTATAGGTAATCCCAAAAGGATTGGAATATAAACCAAATGCTGCTTGCCAGTTTGTTCTTGGCCTGTTTGTAGGTTCTGCGTGAGCACAATTAAGTGTTCTAGAATTTGTATTCTTTTCTACTGTGTACTCCCCTGTAAAACAACAACAGTGCCAAGCAAACCGAGTGAGCTGCCAGGTTGACTCTGGGCCCTGGTGGCCTTGTGTGTGTCACAGTGGAGCTGTGCTCCAGGGGCTTTTCAGGGGCTCACTGGACGTAGGTCACCAGGCTTTCCTTCAAAGGTCCACGCATGAACTTCCAGCTGTTTCATTGAAAGCTCAGGGCATTACCTCTTTGCACCACCCAGAGCTCCTTATCCTTCATGCTCACCATTCCTCACTGAAATTCAAGATTGCCACTCATGTTCCCTCATAAAGAATTATGAGTAAGAAACATGGCAGGGTGTTGGGACAGCACAGCCAGAGCTAGAACTCATGGAGAGTATCTACTGTTAGGTCAGAAAAGTACAAAGCAGCTACAGTCCTGTAATAAAGCATGCCCAAACCCTCTTGCATTTACTTCCTGTCGAGTTTCTTTCTAGCCAGAACCAACTTAAACTGATTCCAGAAGCATGACAGTCCAGCATCCTCCAGCCATGATACACCCTTCCTCTAGAGGCAGCAGGGAGCCTGCACCTGGAACAGGATTCAAACTGCCAGCCAGACACTGTGCATGCACACCATCCCATAAAAGGTGATGTCTTTTGACTTAGGAGTCTCTATATCATCCATCTTGAAGAACCAGCTGTGTGCACACATGGTTTTCATTTAACCTCTCCTATACTGACCGTTTCCCAGAATTCCCCACCTTCTCTTAGGAAATTCCTTCCCACCTAAACCTTAAAAGCCCCCAAAAGAATTCTGTATAGAGAGTCATGGGCTCCTGTTGCTTTGTCCATCCATATCTTCTGCAAAATAGTTTCACTTTTTAAAATATGTTTTTCTTATATTCTTCTTTGCTTGCACAGAAGAAACCAAAACAAAAGGATTTGTTTCTTAGAACTTGAGTCTTGTCTTCCATACCAGAATATCTTTATGTGCAGGTAGCTTCTCTTTCTTTGGACGTGTTGTAAGGAGGGACTGGTCCTTGGAGAGGGACATCATGCTTGGGAGGGTGGAGGGACAGCGCAGGAGAGGAAGGCCCTCTATGAGGTGGATTGAGTCAGTGACTGGGGTAATTGGGATGGGAGTGTCGGAGACAGTGAGATTGGCACAGGGCAGAGCAGAGTTTAGGGCTGTTGTACATAGGGTCGCTATGAGTCGCACGAGACTCGATGGCACATAACAACAACAACAACGAGCAGCTCCTCTTTATGAATATCTTACATCTGGACCACTTGCCCTTTAGTGTTATATAAATTTACCCCCACTCTGAAACAAAGCAACCTCTGGTTGCAAAAACATTCTTTAGCATATCCACCTTCACTTATTGTATATGCAGCTTTTAAATTATTGAAAACCTTGAAGCTTTTTCTTGCGCTTAAGTATCTTGGCATAAACCGTGTGCATACATTCCAGCTTATATAAAAATTCAGCTTAAAAACTTACTGAGACTAGATTAATTTAGAAACAGATCTCATTTGTAACCCGGGGACTGCCTGTTCAGGAAGATGCTTTTAGGCCTGTCCTGTGGAATTTCCGTAGTTTCTCCCATGTGCACCAACCACACTTTCTTACTGGACTCTGGCTATATGTATGTCAGTTTTAAATTTCCTGATATAAAATAGAATCCATCCCTCAGCCATGTGAGGGCAACCTGAGCACACCTTGGGGATTTATAATTAGAGTTTTCACAGAGGCAAGGTGTTAACTTGGGAAACTCTTAATTATAAAAGGTGTTTATTGAAAATTGAGCTATTGCACAGCAAAAATAAGGTTAGATTGGCTGTCAGTTTTGTAGGGGGAGAAGAAACCCAACACTTCACCTCTCCCCTGCCCCTTTGCGTTTACTGGGCCTGTCCGTGCCCTCACTGACCTGTCCTCTTTCCACAGGATGAGAGTCTGGCCTAGGTCTGTGCTGCTCTCTCACTGGCTGTTTCTGGCCTATGTGCTGATGGTGTGCTGCAAGCTGCTGTCTGCCTCCAGCCAGCACCTCCGGGGACACGCAGGTAAGCCCTTTAAGCTCGTTAAGTGTGGCTGAGATCTGTTAATAAAGCCCTTTCAAATGTCAGCATTCACATTTTAGACACAGGTAATTTACAAGAGCTTTTGATGGTGTGTAAATAACCAGACGCCTCTGGGAAGGACCGCAGATGTGTAGAGCATTAGTGCTCAGAGGATTGCCCTGACCACCTTGTCATGATGCCTCTAGGTTCTAAGCTTTCTCCAGGGTTTGTTTATTTTTCTTTTTTGTGGCTTTCCTCCCATTTTCATAATGCTTTTTCTCAAAGAATCCCTGAAAGCCAGCAATACTTTACGTGTGTGTGTCTATTTGTCTGTCTGTCTTTATGTCTGTCTGTCTGTATTTAAAGGTCAGAGAAAGAGAGGAACCTTCACAAGATGGATCGACACTGTGACTGCCACAGTGGCCTCTAATGTGTCAGAAATTGTGAGGATGGTGCAAGATATGGCAGGGTTGAGACCTGTTGTTCACAGGGTCACTAGGAGTCGTAGTCAGCTTGATGGCTTCTAACAACATTTATTTTATATATCTGCCTTTGACAGTAGAACATAATGGTAGCCTAACCCATAGGAAATTGCACTGCTAACCCAAAGGCAGCAGGTTCAAATCTACCACCAGCACCTCAGGAAAAAGATGGAAAAGCTTCTCCTGTGCAATTTACAGCTTCTGAAAACCCACTGCAGGGTCAGCTATGAGTTGGAGTTGAACTTACGGGGAAGGAAATTTTCAGATACTGTAATTTAAGAAACCTTGAAATCTGTGAAGAAAATGCTGCCTTCCAGAGTCATCATACTATTTTACAAGGCCACCAACAGTGTATAAGATTTCCTATCTCTCCACATTCTCTCCAACATTTATTACTTGCTCTCCTGTTAAACTTTGCCACTGCTACGGGTGAGATAGTATCTTGGTATCTCATTGTGGTTTTGATGTACATCTCTCTTATTGCCAGTGATTTTGAACACTTCTTCATTTGTCTGTTGGCCATTCAAATATCTTTCTCTAGGAAAAGTCTTTCCATGTCTTTTTTCCCCCATATCCTAATTGTAACTCCTTGTTGAATATTGCTGTTTCCTTAGAAAGATGAACATAGAAATTCTGTATGACCCAGCTATTCCACTACTTGGAATACACTCCAAGAAAATTAGAACTGAGGCACAAACAGAGATTTGTACACCAGTGTTTATAGTGGTGTTATTTACCATCACGAGAAAATGGAAACTGCCTCGATGTCTAACTCCCATCAAATTGAGAAATTATAGTACATTCACACAATGAAATACTACACAGCACACAGGAACAATGATTTTGAAAATCACTACCTAACTTGGGAGAGTCTGGAGAGCATTATGCTACGTGAACTCAGTCACATTAGGACAAATACTGTATAAGACCATTATTGTAGAATGTATATGAGGATCCATGGTGGGGAGTGAGGGAGCAGAGGGGTGAGGAGGTTTAATCATAGGGTTACACAATTTGATGGGTGGAGGGAGGGGTAGGTAAAGGAAATGGGAAAGATCTGGAGTGAAAAACAATGTATACAAACTTTGTAAGTAAACTAGTTTAAAAGAAAAAAAATTATTAAATAATGCTGAATGTTTTTTAAAAGATGAAAAGACAGAATGAACAATTAAAAAAGAAAAAAAATTAATGTATATTTTTCACCAGTTTATTTACAAAATTCTAATATAAATTCAAATAACTTCTTTCAATTTCCTTCACCCCTCCCCCCCATCAAATTGTACAACCCAATGATTAATCCCCTCTTCTCCAGCACATCCACATCCCTCTGTTTCCAGCCTCTCCCACCCCTTCTGGATCCTTATACTAATTCTATAATAATGGTCTTATACAATATTTATCCTTATGCGACTGACATAGATCACTCAGCATAGTGCTCTCCAGTACCTCCCAAGTTAGATAATAATTGACAGAGTTACTGCTCCTGCATGCTACATAGTATTCCATTGTGTGAATGTACCATAATGTCTCAATCCATCCTTTTGTGGTTGGATATTTGGGCTGTTTGCATGTTCTTGCGATCGTTAATAATGCTACTCTGAACATGGGTGTACAAATCTCAGTTTGTGCCTCAGTCCTCATATTCTCAGGGTATATTTCAAGGAGTGGAATAGCTGGGTCATAGGAACTTTCTTTGTTTAGCTTTTTGAGGAAGCTCTAAACTGCCTTCCAGAAAGGTTGCACCATTTTACAATCCCACCAACAAAGTATAAGAGTTCCTTTCTCGCCACATCCTATCCAACATCTATTACTGCCCTGTCAAACTTTGCCACTCTTACTGGAGTGAGATGATACCTCATTGTGATTTTGATTTGCATCTCTCTTATTGCTAGTGACTTGGAGCATTTCTTCATGTGTCTGTTCACCATTAAAATATCGTCCTCTGTGAAAATTCTATGTCTTTTGTCCATTTTGTAATTGGGTTATCAGTCTTTTTCTTGTGGAGGCCCAGGAGTATTCTTTAAACTTTTCCTATAAGACTCTTGTCTGAGATGGTATTATGAAATGTTTGTTCCCAGTCTGTAGGTTTTCTTTTCACCCTATTGGAAAAAAGGTTTTTTTTTTAATTGGGAAAAACATATTGGGGGTACAAGGAGGTGAGGGTTGGGGGCAGAAGGGTGAGGATGGGTCAGGATGCAGTTGCAGAGCTGCACAGTTTGGTTGGTGGGGGGAGCAGGTGAAGGAAATGATGAGGGTCCAGAGGGGACCAGATCCTCTATAGGAGGAATGACAAGCATTTTCCAATGGTAATTAAACCAACTGTCTTATTGATTTGGGAATTGGATGCAGACTCTCTGGCTTCTTCATGCTGAACAGGGGCGTAGATGTAAAGGGGGGAAGGGAGGACGCTTTATCACCTTACTGGTGGTCTTGGGTTAAAGCTGCTTGCCTTCTTGCTCTGTTAAAAGATATTTTCCTGTCATTTGCTCCCCTCTGGACTGCAAAGTGTTTTCCCAGGTGGGCCCAGTGGGGATGGCTGGTTGAACCCAGAGGCTCCATCCTCCTTTGCTTCCTTAGCTGTCAGTTGTATTTCCTTTATGTCACTGGCACTGGGTTCAGGGTCAATTCTGGAGTAAAACTCAGAGTTAAGGTTACCTATAGGAAAGGGAGCAAACCTAGAGAGAACAAACTTGTGAGTTACAAATAGAAGGGCTTTGAGGGTGTTGCTTTCAGGTTTACTTGGGGGGAGGGTGGCAGAAAGTGGCCTAGGTAGCATTGGATACCCTAGGCATTCTTTTTTTTTTTCTCCTTCACCACCCAGGAGTCAATCTGGGGACAATGGCACAAACTGGGGACTGAAGAGCTCACCCTGAGGGCTGCGACAGCTCACCCCGAGCCGAGGGCAGCTTGCCCTGGGCAGAGGGCTGCGACGGCTCGCCCCGAGCCGGGGGCCAAGGGCAGCCCGCCCCAGGCAGAGGGCCACGACGGCTCACCCCGAGCCAGGGGCCGAGGGAAGCCCTCCTCGGGCAGAGGTCCGAGGGCAGCTTGCCCTGGGCAGGGGGACACGACGGCTCGCCCTGGGCAGAGGGCCGCGATGGCTCGGCCCGAGCCGGGGGCCGAGGGCAGCCCATTCCGAGCAGGGCAACACCCCCCGGGAGCTGGCTAGTATACTCCCCCTCCAATTGCCCCTATCCCAGTCTGGTCCCCTCACCTGACTGAGGACTCTGTGGTCAGGGATAGTGTTTCCAATTCCAGCACTGCCACTTTTACCCCCCCCATAAGTGGTCATACTATATTTTGAAGTAGGTGTCACTGCCCTCCCCCTTTATAAATGATAAAGGGAACCTGAGAATTGTGAACAGACTCCTCCCAGGTCTAACCATCTTTTGGCAGAAGCATTCAGCAGAACAAAATATGTGGTGCATTTAGAATGTCGGTCCTCTTGTGCATGTTGCCACTGTTAAGGTCATCAGACGCACAGTGACTTTCAGCAATCCATTGCATAGGTAATCATCTTCTTTGGCCTGTCCAATGCATAGGTAATCTTCTTCTTTGGCCTGTCCAATGCATAGGTAATCATCTTCTTTGGCCTATCTAATGCATAGGTAATCTTCTTCTTTGGGGAAAAAAGTTTTTGATGTGCACAAAGATTTGATCTTTAGAAAGTCCCATGCATCAATTTTATCCTCTTTAGATTGTGTATTTCTGGTTGTATTTGGTAGTCTCTTTATACCTGGACTAGCTCTTCTAAGCTTGATCCCAGTTCGTCTCTTATAAATATTATGGCTTTGGGCTTACTGGTTTACATCCAAAATTCATAAAGTTTGTATACATTGTTTTTTACACTGGAAGGGAACTAACTCAGTCTCATAAAAACAAAAAACATATAAGACCATTATTGTAGAATAAGTACAAGGATCCAAGGGGATGGAGTGGCTTTTAATCATTGGTCACACAATTTGATGAGTGAATGGAGGGATGGGTAAATGAACAGTTTTTTTGAAAAATGGAAAGAAAGCATGGAAAAAAGTATGGAAGAAAGAAATAAGAGAATCAGTGGTAATTTTTTGAGAGTTCTAAATTGGAATATGTCTAGAGTGTTAGAGGAAATTCTGATAATTTGCCCTTTTCTAAAGAAAGATTTAAATTTTGAGCCCAGAGTCCGTGTGTGTGTGTGTGTGTGTGTGTGTGTGTGTGTGTGTGTGTGCTTGTTTGTGACATGCAGCTGGAAAGTCTCCGGTGAATTGTGTTTCCTGGGTGGTTCATGCATGTCTATAGACCTGCTGCCAGACAAGTCGTTTGCCATCTCTGCGGCCATGGTTTGAGGTGTGGCGGTGCCAGAATGCTTTAACGTCTTGGTAAAACAGTGAAACTTGAGTACTAAACTGTGTTTTGAGACCATAAATTCACCTTGCAAAGGTCCTTACATATGGAAAAGTTTACTGACAATCCTTACCCTAAGATAGTGAGCTCTGGTGGTCTAGTGGGTAAAGCTTTGTGCTGCCAACCCAAAGGCAATTG